TTGCTGCTCAGCCTGTTCCATCTGAAAGCTCAGTTATCGGCACCTCGAGAGGTCTTCCGGGTGAGCAGGCCTCACAGACAAGCCGAATAATCTTAATACTGATGGTTCAACGATATACTTGTGCCAGGATTTAATCCGGAAAATTACCGTACGTTTTCAATTTTAGAAACTGGTGCTTCTGTCTGTAAAAGAACAGGTGCACAAATCACTTACTGAACTCTGACTCTTAGCCTCCGTGAAATGCTCCTTGATAAATGCAATTCAACAATGATACTTGTGACTGGTTATAATAAGGCTAAGTTTTCTTATTGCCAACCCCATGGACTGTCAGTCTTTTATTAGTGTTTTTTGTAGACAGTTATTGACAACGTTCATCAGATGCGCAGATACAATTTGGAGGAAAAGTTCGAAAAGTGACTGAGTTATGTCAAGTTAGACATCAAAATTGAGGCAAGAGAATCTAATGAAAGAAGCTCGCTGAAGTATTAGTCCTCCTACCCCAGGATTTCTCTTCCGCCTGAGGTAGCTCAGTAATTCAGACTTCCATAAAGACCTCAAACTGGATAGGAACCACCTTATTCTTGTGGCTAAGGGCAGAACATGCGTCACAAAATGTAAACTTTTCTATTTAACTCCACCTAACTGCTGTTGTCTTGTGACAAGTCATTCGGATCACGCTCGTCGAATGACGTCCCTAATTATCTTTCTATCATTGCCATGGCAGTATTTTGGCTATCCTACAAACATGAGTTGTAACAAGGTCATGATTGTACGAGGGCTGGGATACTGCCAGGGCGCCTACACCTAGACAGGAGGACGATTAGGGTCCTCAACCAAAGCCTTTGGCTCAAAAGCCTAACCGCAAGGTAGCGGTGTTTGGCGGGAAATGCAAATGCATTACCGTTTCTACGGAACAAGTCGCCACATGTTTCAACCCCCAACCTGGAGGGCCAGGAGACTGTGTTCGTCAGACCTCTAACCATTGACCAACCTGGTATGAGAGACTCTGTGAGTGTCGCGGGACACTCTCCAGTATAGCTCAATGGATCGCTGAGGTGCGCAAACCGTCACACCACGGTAAGGTCCAGTCTCTTTATGACGAACCAGTCTCTTTATGATGGACTATCCACTACAATAAGCGGGGGTCCGCGGGGTCAAACCAGACATCTTTTCTGTAGTTGTTGCCTAACTCAGACACTGTGGGTACGATTCTCAAAAGATTCTCATTCTCGCCGATAATGTCTTCAATATGATGCTCAAATATGCTTCATTGCTGTTTGAAGCAGTTGGCCCCTTGTGTCTGATTGGTTCCCGTAAGAACATACGGCCTTTCTAATACATTCCGCGTGGTTGCATGGTTGCATCACAATCACCCCCAAGGTGCAAGCTTATAAGTGCTGTGTAGCTATAGATCCCCAACGCACATATTTCAAACCATTTGAGTTTCAACATCGTCATCATAATCATCAAAGACAGCAACATCAGTGTTGACACTAATGCTTCACTGCCATTTGATTTTAAATCAGTGGATCCATAAGCCACGCCGACCGTTTAAGTTATCCCATAAGGGACTGAATCTTGGTGGGGAACCTCATCAGCTGATGCTTGGCTTTGCCATTTATGTAGCTTATCATCGTCACGGGCACAGTAGGTTTTCATTCTCTACGTTGCATTTCAGATGGGCCGCTGTCAAAGGAATATGAGGGTGCTGCTACACCCCTTCTACATAGTGAACATCTTGCTGAGCACGGTATTCTTCATTTCAAAAACCGTCCCTCCTCTGTGCACCACGATCTATGATAGTTGTCAGATTGACTTTCATGAATATGAGCTGTTGATTTTCCTCGGAAGCTTCATCGCACTGCGAAACAAGCGTCAGTTTTCAATCCCTGATTACCTATCTCATTTTTGTTTGTTTGCCAAAATATTGAGTTTGATAATGTTTTGGAAGCAGAATGTGGTTTATGCTATCATCTTTGGTCTTGTATGGTTGCTCCAAGCGTGCTTCTTACAGCAACCATACTATCAGGGACCTGACCAAGTTTTGTACCTACGGGACTTCACTTTTGAACAGGAAGTTCTTCATGGGGATACACGAACCATGTGGTTAATTGCATTTTATGCTGCATGGTCCCCAGCCTGTATCAAACTCCAACCTATCTTTGCCGAGTTGTCTGCAGATTTTGGTCTGCCATTCCTGAAATTCGCCAAACTGGATATCACGCGCTATCCGGATCTTGCCAAAAAGTACGATGTTGATGTGTCGAGTATGTCGAAACAGATACCAACTTTGATACTATTTCGTCATGGTCGTGAACTGGTTCGTCGTCCAGGCGTACTTTGTGGATCCAAGAAATCCGTACAAAAATTCTTTTTCACTTATGAAAATATTGTCGCTGCGTTTTCTCTCAATGAGTTTTACATGGAATGTAAAAAGCTGTCTGCCTCTTCGAGCCGGTCTGGAGTAGAAGAAATGGTCGGTGGTAAGAAGGACCAGTGATTCCGGGATATCTTCGTATTAGGGTGCAACCGAGAATTCTTCTCACTTTTCGTGGTGACAATCCGAACTATGGATGATACGCTATGTTCCAGACGAAAATTCAGCTCTTCGTGTTATCTAGGTCATTGATTTTCCCTTCCCAGTATTTTTGTATTCTTAGTAATTTATAGACTCTAGGCTATTACCCTTAAGTGTGATTAGTGTAATATGGATACTCCGTGCAATTCCTTCGGTAGTTTAAAAAGATTCTATCGTTCTACGTCAGAGTTTTGGCATTTCTCTTATCGATACAGGCTGGGATATGTGAAAGCGTAGTTCCTAGGAGATGATTAATCCATTAATTAGTTGGAACCCTGGACTCGGCCCCAGACTAAGAATGTAGGGTTTGTAATTGTTTAGAGGCAAACTGTGGTGACACAATGTCTCTAATGCTTAGGGATCAGAATTTCCGCGAAAATGCCAATGAATATCAGGATTCCTGAGGATTGTGTAAGTATCTGACGGCTAACCCCGATCTCAATCTGCGAAATGCTTTCCACGTTTGCGTATAGGGAGGCGCAACGAAACTTCTTTCCGATCCTGACGAATATTTTTAGTGTTAGCTATATTGTAGTGGTGGTGCGTGATAACAGTGTGAAGTGAATGACAGTACCTAGGAGATTAAACCCCTTCAAAGGCGGTTCTTCGAACAGTTGTTCCTCAACTAGTTACCTGGGCGATCAGTCTGTTAACTTTGGTATTTCCTACGTACTCGCCATGGGCATAATAAATAAATAAATAAATAAATAAATAAATAAATAAAATAAATGAATAAATAAATAAATAATAACTACCACCAGAACATCAGCCCTTTATCTTAGGTTTGCATTAAAATACCCCTTTCACACTGAAAAAAATTGTAGTGAAGGGTAATAGCAAACCAGAAATATAGTTGATATGACCGTACTACTGGTGCTTGTCCAATTGATGCTAGTCATAGTAAGTGCATTTCATCCAGTTTTCAGTTTGGTCGGTGAGCTACACATGTTAGCTTGTCTTGGGTATGCATGCAACGGGCTCCTTGTTAGCTCCATCGCCTAAGTCAGCAACTGTGCCCGTAAGGCAGAGAACTAATGTAGAAATTGGATTTTTAGATTGCAGTAGCTGCCTATATCCTTTTGTGATTATGATATCCTTAGAAGGCGAGTTTCGTCATCAGTTTTAACTTCACGTAATTCTTGCACGGTTTTGTCAACCTATGCGGCGGGATGGTTCAGTTAGAGCGCGAATTCGCTGACCGGAAGGTCCGTGGTTCGGACCCGACCTCTTTCTCTTGACTTCCTCTGCCTTGGGCAACCTGGCAGTATTGCAGCTCTCGTGCCAGTTAGACATCGAAAGGGTGCTATAGCCGAACGATTTCGATTTCTCAACCTTCGGTGATGAAATATTGGATGGAAGAGATGTATGTGTGAAATTAACTGTAGATATTAGCTATGGTTGGACAAAGGTGTGTGTATTTGGAATACTCGATTCGGTCTTAATGAAAAGCTTCATCGTGCTTGAAAGCGGCATGACACACTTCCTTTCCGTTAGAGTATAGACGGCGATGGTAGCTTAGATCGGTCACCTCTCTAAGGAGAAGCACCGACCCTAGAAGGCATTCTGGTTCTTTTTGAAAACAGCTGCTTGTGCGGGGAGTAGAACTGACTCAACATGGTTAAAGCGAACTAAATCCGTATTGAATAGAGTGGATATCATTCCTAAATGTGCACACAACACAGGTATAGACAACAGGTCAGGGACCACAAATATTGTTTCCATTACTGCTTGATGATGCCTCTCCTACTACTCACAGACCCACATTGCGTCTAAATAGGAAAGATTGGTTTTGTTTCAGAAGGGCTTTGTAAACGATCGGTAGTTTTTAATTGGACAACGTTTCACTTTTGACACAAAAGCTTAATCAGGTAAAGTGAGGAGGTCACCAAATTGGCCAGGTTTTAAGGCAGACGGAGCACTACTCAGTAAACTCCCTTCATATTACTACACTAGATCAGTGTTGAGTGTCAATTAATGGCTCTTGTCGGTTAGTGTGGTTGCCAAAATCTTGCATTGATGGATTCGAGGTTTTTGTTCCTTGATTTTACACTGTAAGGTGCTTCAATTGATGATTCAACTTAGATGCCACTGGTAAACGTTGTCCTGTGTTAGCTTGTGAGTGTTACGACAATTTTGTTCGGTATAGGGGGGAGGGAGGTGGGTGAGGTTAAATGCGATTCAGATGTAGGCTACTTGCGTCGGTGACTCCTCTTTCTGATAGCCACACACCAACACGTGTCAGCTCTGCTGATCCAATACCGTTCTCCACACGCTTGCCTGTTCTATACCTCCTATCCTATTTGCACTAGAATCCTTGACTATTTCTACCTCCCCGGCCATCAATCTCTATGGCGTGGACCGCAATCTCCATCTCAAAACCCCAACATTTTCTAAATTTATTTTTGTCCCGTGTCCAGTACGTGTTTCGCCACTGCTCAGTCTTCCAGTAACGATCGGTATTCATCCGCCTTCTTTGGCGGTCTGTTCATTTCTCTCCTATGCTGATGTGAAGCTCCCTGGCCATCTGTCCTATGTAGACCTTAGTGCAGTCTTTGCATTTCATTTTGTAGATAGTCCCTGGTTCTGTTCACCGGGAGACGAACCTTCAATTGTACCAGTGCAGAGTTCCTCCCTTCTGGAAAGCTACTCTTATGTTGGCCGTGTTTAGGATCATTTGAATGAATTCCAATTTTCCTGGTTTATATGGAATAACAGCAGTCCCAATCCATTTCGTGTTGGGTTTCGCTACCGGTCGCAACACTGTTCGCAACTGACGCCTAATCCACTACCGCTGCGTTTGTTCCTTACTTCAGTTTGGACCGCTGCCCGATCAAGCGAACTAAATCCGTATTGAATAGAGTGGATATCATTCCTAAATGTGCACACAACACAGGTATAGACAACAGGTCAGGGACCACAAATATTGTTTCCATTACTGCTTGATGATGCCTCTCCTACTACTCACAGACCCACATTGCGTCTAAATAGGAAAGATTGGTTTTGTTTCAGAAGGGCTTTGTAAACGATCGGTAGTTTTTAATTGGACAACGTTTCACTTTTGACACAAAAGCTTAATCAGGTAAAGTGAGGAGGTCACCAAATTGGCCAGGTTTTAAGGCAGACGGAGCACTACTCAGTAAACTCCCTTCATATTACTACACTAGATCAGTGTTGAGTGTCAATTAATGGCTCTTGTCGGTTAGTGTGGTTGCCAAAATCTTGCATTGATGGATTCGAGGTTTTTGTTCCTTGATTTTACACTGTAAGGTGCTTCAATTGATGATTCAACTTAGATGCCACTGGTAAACGTTGTCCTGTGTTAGCTTGTGAGTGTTACGACAATTTTGTTCGGTATAGGGGGGAGGGAGGTGGGTGAGGTTAAATGCGATTCAGATGTAGGCTACTTGCGTCGGTGACTCCTCTTTCTGATAGCCACACACCAACACGTGTCAGCTCTGCTGATCCAATACCGTTCTCCACACGCTTGCCTGTTCTATACCTCCTATCCTATTTGCACTAGAATCCTTGACTATTTCTACCTCCCCGGCCATCAATCTCTATGGCGTGGACCGCAATCTCCATCTCAAAACCCCAACATTTTCTAAATTTATTTTTGTCCCGTGTCCAGTACGTGTTTCGCCACTGCTCAGTCTTCCAGTAACGATCGGTATTCATCCGCCTTCTTTGGCGGTCTGTTCATTTCTCTCCTATGCTGATGTGAAGCTCCCTGGCCATCTGTCCTATGTAGACCTTAGTGCAGTCTTTGCATTTCATTTTGTAGATAGTCCCTGGTTCTGTTCACCGGGAGACGAACCTTCAATTGTACCAGTGCAGAGTTCCTCCCTTCTGGAAAGCTACTCTTATGTTGGCCGTGTTTAGGATCATTTGAATGAATTCCAATTTTCCTGGTTTATATGGAATAACAGCAGTCCCAATCCATTTCGTGTTGGGTTTCGCTACCGGTCGCAACACTGTTCGCAACTGACGCCTAATCCACTACCGCTGCGTTTGTTCCTTACTTCAGTTTGGACCGCTGCCCGATCAGCTTCTGTGCACAGGGCCTTTACACACCTAAACATTGATGAAGCAGTACTAGCGAATACTGACTTCGGATGGGCAGACGAGTAGTTCAGAATTACCCCATTGTCACTTGACTTTTTGTACACTAGTCTTTAGTTCTCCCTAGGCCTTGGGGGTCATGCAGTTCCAGAAGGCCGGTGAACCTGAAGTTGGCTGTATGCCCATACCCAGTTTGATGTGTAGATTCAGGTCATTCAGATGGTTGTAAAACTCACTGCCTCTGTCTTGTTTCATCACGATGAAAGTATCATCCACATGACGCCATAATATCTTGGGTGGCTACGGGAATCCGGCCAAAGCTCTCTGTTCAAGACCTCCCACAAAGAATGTTTCCCAAAACCGGGGATAATGGAGATCCCATTGCTAGACCTATTCTTGAGTGTAAACTACGAAGTCAAAAACGAAGTGGGTGAGATTCAGGTATGCTTTTATTCCTTCCATTATTTCACCTACCATAAGTTATGTCCGTTCTGAAAGGGTGGTATCTGCTAGTAGCAGTTGCTCGACTATTTCTAAAAGCGAATAGAATTTCACCTACATAAGTTATGTCCGTTCTGAAAGGGTGGTATCTGCTAGTAGCAGTTGCTCGACTATTTCTAAAAGCGAATAGACATCAAAACTCACAATGTTGTCACCTGGTTCCACGGTGACACCCGCTACTTTGTTGGCAGTCATGAAATTTTAATGCAAGTACTTTATTTCTTGCGAGAGATTTTAAACTGCATTGTCCTTTTTCTTGATGCCCCTTCGTAGACCGACAAGACGGCATTGGAATGGGTTTGGATGTACAGTGTAATACAAAGACTTGGACGATCATGTCCCCCTTCAATTTTGAACAAGCGGAATTATTTTGTGTTATACTAACAGATCTTCCATCATTCAAGACCGAAATCAAAGTGTTCCTGAATGTTGTTAGCGCTTATTTGTGAGTTATATTCTCTATTGGAAAAATGCAATAGTTGATTTGAATCAACTGAGGAATGCTACGCAATTCCTCGTTATCGGCGATGGATAGAAAGAGATACCCAGATACGACGCGTTTATCGCAATGAAAGTTAACTGATCAAAGACTTCATGACAAATTTTTTTGACTAGGGTAGCAAGAACTCCACCCCGATGGTCTGACTACCGTAAGTGGTCAAATGAAGATAGTTTTTTACCAAACAGATGCATCAATCTGCGTTTGGTGTTGGTCTTATCTAACGGTTGTTTCGCGTTATGTGGAAGCCCTCTGCGGCTGAATGAATTGCGCATGAACAGGACCAGGTTACCGGGAAGTTTTCTTATGGAATCGCGAACGAAAGAAAGCGATATCAAGGACCGTAGATCTGGGCGACCCAAATAGCCTCATTTTCTAATGGGGAAAATGAGGGATTTAATGATTTTCACAGTGCCGGATTGTGTATGGTTTGACATTCCATTTATGCGGTCAATAAACATTTGGTACATCGGTGTAATCTGACGGGCATGCCAAAACGTCGTCTTTGGTTGATAGATACAGGACGCTGATGGCCCGAAATGCCTTGCTGTCCGATCTGGCTTTTCGTGTCCTTTCAGCACGTAGCAGGAGTCCCTTCCATAGGACATCAGAGTTGGGGTGGAAGTGTGGACGTCTAACGTGCTGATGGATTAGGGAACGTTAGTAGGTGACTTTTCTAGCGGTTCGCTCATTCCTTCCCTCTGGATTGAACTTCTTGATCGCGCACCGAGTAAAACTGTTCATTGCGTTGATGTGTTCTGTTTTTGCTCGAAGCCTACAACGAGCGTTACTGTGATGACTTTTTTGGTAACTGCATTTTGATCAAAAGGCGGTAGCAGTGCCCACACCTAGTTGCACAGTGCCATTATTGAATGCACTTCATAGATGGATCCTGCCATAATTGAAGGGATGGACTCTGTTTCTATCAGATAGTATCCAACGCATTCACTTCCCTAATTGTTTAGAATGTAGTATGGTTGGATGTAGAAGCTTGTTGGCTGTATACTTAGCTGCAATTGCCCAGCCCATCGAATAAACCAATGACCATGAACATTTAGAGGATTGCAGCTAGTACTGTATGGAGCATCCTTTTTTTGGCTTCAAAAATTTTATCCGATTACTCGGCTGTTCACTCGACATTGTGGTTTCAGACCTATGGATAATCCGACTTGCCATCCATTATCTCGATTTCCCCAAAAAGCTTTATGAACACTTCAAATTATTGAATACATGATCAGGTGCATATAATGTAGACGGTTGGTGTTGAAACTGGGATGTGAAACCGTGCGAAGCAGAGGTAATGAGTCTTTCCTACAGACCATCCTTGCAGCTGTTCATCCAGCCTCACCGGATCGGGGTATTCCTTGACCAAGCATTCCCAAACGCGCGGACTTCTCCGCTTCATATGCCCGAAAGGCCTCTTTCCGGCAAGCCTCACTCCTGAAAGTGTCCAGTGCACCATGTTGCTAAAATGGAAGTGAAATATGATTCGCGGCAAGTACGAGAAAAAATATCAGGACTGCAACTGATCTACTGATTTGGAACATGTCCATGGATATCCATATAGCCCTGACATAAAATAAAACGTTTCGAATAAATGCACCAAGTAGAGTGCATCAGCGCCTTAGCATAGCGTGTCTTAGAATGGCCAGCACTGCTTTACACTGTTCATTCGAGCAAAACTGAATTTGAACTTTTAATAGGTATTCGAAGGGATGTGAAGACATGATTGGTCGTATTTTGGATTTGTTTCGACGGAGCAGCTGAATAGTCTAATTGAGGTTAAAGTCCGTTTGACCTGAAGGGTTTTCAAATTCAGGTTTTTGTTCCACTTAACTATGGTAGGATCGCGTCAAAGGAACACCAGTTTTAAAGGCCACAATTTTGTCTACCGAGGTTGGGGAGACTGTGCTGAGCCCAGATAAACTAGGACGGGGAACCACTGTACTCAGACGCTGATGATCCAGGCTATAGTTTCCGTTGATTACAATTAGGCATACTGCATAAAACGGTCCCCCAAAATTTAGATGAGATGCATGCGTTAACATTTAACCTTTCAGATGTTCATTCTGTGAGGCGATCAGTTAACTACATTGATCTCCCACAGGTGGGGATGTATGTGGACTTGAGCTATCACAAAAATAACGGGATGCTTGCGGAATGTTCATCTCGGAGTAAATATCGGAAGCAATCAAAGACGGGTTCCTTAGGTACTCTTCATAGATTTAATTAATCCGCCGGTTCTAGGGGAACTTTGAAACAGTTGTCATCATCAGGATTATAATTACAGACAGCAACACCAATGTTGAATACGGGTATTTCACTGACGAACAATCATGTCAGCCACTCTTCGGACCAAAGGGACGTGTCTTTCATCGGAGTTTCACGGTGGAAATTACAACCTAAACATGAACGTGAATCACACGCTTACAGCTGATATCATAAAAACGAACAGATAGTACCGTAATTGCTGCTTAAAGTATGCCTTTCGGTTGGGTATAGTTAGGCACCATTGTCCTGGAAAGACCACCTATCGGTATTAAATCTCTGGCATACGTAATGTGTATAGCTTGAACAAATCCCAATGTCAGAACAACCGAACAAAGCTCAAGATAACGTTTCTGAAGAACCACGCGATTCAGCCCACCGTATCTAAAAACAAACCCTGCAACTCAAGGTTTCTTCGGAGTTTTGGTCACTAATATATTAAAGACAGCCAGTGTAGTTTGGCATCACGGCCGGTGTGGCATAAGAGTATTGTTAACTGTAAGTGCTCATCCACTCTATTTCTCTTCTTTTCCCTCTAGGATAATATACAAATCTTATGGTTCAGTGTGTCAGCACTGATATTACTGTCTTAGATGATGATGATGATGCTTGGCATCCCTGATCCAATGGGATCACTAGGAAGGAGACGCTTATTTACATGAATGTGCCTTTCCCCACAACAGGTGGCGAAGCTTTACTTTGTACTATACACTCCATTTTGTCATTTATCGATAATAAAGCTTTCTTGACTGAAATCACATTGGCGTAAACTGGGATGCGGGAAAGCTAGCTCATGCCTAGTTTATACTGATTACACGGCAGCCATGCCCCCAACAGAGCTAAGCAGAACCGAGTGATCTTCTGAAGAATGATAAAGAGTAAAAGCAATCCACAGTATCGATTCTAGTAGCATCCGGGCCTGGAGTTTGCTTTGCTTCCTTACATTTGTCTGGCTGCCTTGCATGGTACGTCTGTGAGCTTATGCTAGTCACATGCTTACTCTTACTTCTCCAGTCGTTTTATTGGATTAGAGATAGAGGTGATGCGTAAATTTTGTTGCCCGGTGGCATTAAGCGCCTTTCGTCCTTGAATTCGTTCTTTATTTAATACTAGATGTATACTGATGTAAACTGCGTCCCATGTATGATCGCATCATCATCAGAGACAGCGAAATCAGTGTTGACACTGATGCTTTCCTGCTTCACCAAGTAAGATGTGTTTGGTTTGGAATAGTTTATTTCGTTTCATTTCGGCACGTCCAGGTGAAATTCTCATCTGACATACTTTTGCAATGTGCTTGTTAGTAAAAAACACATACTTACTCATTTATGTTGTGGTTGTTGTTGAGTAGCGGACTTACCTTGTTTTCGAATTGTGGTAGCTTCCAAAAGCTTTCCGGAGCTGGTGTTTTTTTACAACTTCTTAGCAGCGAAGTTCTGTTATCAGTTGTTGCGCTTAGCTTTTGCTGTTTCTTTGGTAAGTTTTTTTAGGATAGACGTAATTGAAGCCACCTACCTGTTCATATAAATGGGCCAGCCTTTTCATTTGCGCTTCGAGCCAGTCCGATTGGTACTTGTGAGCGATCAATTCGTGCATGGGCGTGAATGACCTTGAAATAACCCGAAAAAGGAGTTAATAGTTGAGTTAGGTGTATAACATTCAAAACAAACATCTTGAGTTAAGCTTTCGCGAATTCTGGGAAGTCCTATGATAAATGGAAACAGCTACTGCACCTCCAGATGCCAACCTAACAGTGGGTGAAACTGCATCTCTAGGTGGTTCAAAACTATTTGTCGGGTTATTCATTTTTTTCGTTTGCCTTTGACGCAAGGTATTCAGCTCGTGCTAGCTACCCCTGGTTTATGGATGGCGTTGCTGCTCGGATGTGAATGTTCATGGTTATCATTGGTGAACAAAGCCGGGCCGTCGATTGTGCTGTTCGAGTAACGTCTCGAAAAATAAAGAAGTAACTAAATAAGTAACCATGCTTACCTTACTGGCGACGTCGCAAATGATGGTTGTGACCTACCACGAGGAAATCTAACCATCTGATTTTGAGTGCATGCATAAACTTTAGCCCATACGTACCCTGTAACCACCAGACAACTAAAAGTTTGTTGGTGGAGAAACTGCGAGTACTAATTCAGGCCGTTTAATTGCTTTTCATTCTTCTATTCGTTCAAAAACTACGGATGAAAGAATAGCTATTCACCGCCACTGTACAAATTCGTATCGACTGAATACGACAAGCGCAGGTATTGAAGACTTATCTGCATAGCAAGGCTAGCTTCTTTTCTACTTTTGCTTTTACTGTATAATTATGAGCCGGAATTCGTGGATATTTCAGTACGTGACTCGGAATCGAGCTCTTAACCAGGTCGGGGCAACTCTATGTGAATTTTTAATCGAGATTTCTTCCTGTGAGTGTATCGAATGTGTACCAAAAAGCCCCTTCATTCTTCCGTAGAATAGTAAGAAGGGCGCCTCTTATGAAGAGGAACGCAGGTCGCTTGGCCCCTCCAACTGATAAGTTTTCACTTCCGGAGCCGGTCATTTCTGGTTTACTTACTGTGAACTGCGTGTGTGAAGCATATCACCGCGAAATCACGTCTGAGTACGAGTCAATCTTTGCAGATGGACCGCTTGCAGCCGAATGACATAGTGTTCAACATTTACCTGGATGCTTTTTGTGATTGCCGAAGAAGCCCATCAGTGTTTAGGCAGCTTCACTCTGTACCGCTGGCTAACTTCACTTGCAAGGGATCTTCAGTGAGGCTTCAGAATTTCTTCGCTACTTATACACCGTGTTTGAGTTTGCAATAAGTCTCAGATGACGTAACAGCTAGTTCAGTTTAGATCTGGAAGAAGCTAAAACAGCGAATAGACTAGGTCTACCATTACGTACATGACTTTTATCTCGAATTTACTGTCAAAGCGAGTCTAAATACTAAAGCATCCGATCACTACATTTCCTGTCAAAATGACAGTTGCGAAGCGGTTTTGATGCAAGTTGCAGGGAAATAATTTTTTAAAGTGGTGTATAACCACGCAGGTAAGCAATAAGTGGTGGTCGCCTCAAGTTTGACCATTCAGGTCTAACCCCCTGACTTTCGTGGGTTATTCACTAAGCTTTCAATTTCGCCGGTTGATAGTTTATGAATCGGCCGACTGCCTAAAGTCCTCCAATTCTTCTAATCGGGTGGATTAATGCGGCTTATTAGTTGAAATAAAAAGCAGCATTTTATGCTGAAATTCAAAATTTCTTGGGAAATGATGCACACCACACTTTGTAATGGTCTTCCGAGGGATGTAATAAGACCCTGGTACGACGTCAACGACTGATTCCTCAGGTTAAAACCCAAGAGTTTCATGTGACGATTCTATGCATAATACGACGCCTCAAAATACTTCTAAGATTTCCTTAGGTGAATTACTCAGCTGTGAATGACGGAAAATTTGAACACAGTACCCAGAAACTTATCAGTTCAAATACTGATTCGACGTATCCGAACACATGGCTCACCCCTCTGTTTAGCTATAGTCAATGAGACTGCAGGCTTGTGCTATCCCCCTTTTTACAATCCATTGGTCCCGTTCGTCCTTCAGTATACAAACAAGTGGTCCATATTCATTTTGCGTGGCTCGTTCGCCATTAATGTTTGTTTGAAAACTGGTTTCCGATTTGCCGGACGAATTCTCGTACTAATGTGAATAATACCATATTTGACCTTATTATTGGACTTGAGCAGAAAATAGTGACATGGTATCGATTAAATATACAGTCATGTGCGTTGGAAATATAAAACAATGGACCTAAGAGTTTAAGCGTATCATGCCCAATTGTGTTTAGGTTGCGATCAGATACAATAGATGATGCTAATGATCACACTATTTCATGATTTCCCTGTATCCATACCGCCTTCAAGTGAATTGTATATCCTTCGTGATAGTTCCGGAATTTAGCGTACCGTTCACCTTAGTTTTGTATAGAGGAACAACAACCGACCCATCGCCACGCACCACTACCCTCTCTAACAACGCACTGATGATGTTACCCCGACTGGTGGTGAAACCTTTGCAATCAAATTGCCAAGCTCAGCGAACAAACCAACGACTAAACAAATTAGTCTTCAAGTCTTAGTGATACGAAGGATTCCCACCGAATGATTTCATTTTCGACCATTTTACATGTATCTTCCTTCTATGACTGAGCTTCATATGAGTATATCATCGAAATAATTCCGTACACGGCATTCAACTTCATTCCATTTGAATAGCATTTTCCTTATAATTCGCTTCCCATTTGAACGGAGTTTGGTAGTTCAGCGTAAGAAGTAACAGAAGGGAAGATGTTTGACTCTAACAGCCGCTTTAACTGTGACGCTTGCGTGGTCCATCTACGAATAAGAAAGTAGGTGAACCAGCTGCAGATAATTCGGGTAGGTTTATTCAGATACGTTGACGGCAAGGTTAAACGTAACAGTCGCTAGCAGCCTAATCGATGATTTACGCATGGATTCATAACGCGGGCTAACCGATCCTTTCACCCTAAGGATTCAGGTCATTGTGGCCATACTCGGAGTGTCTGTGCTCCGTTTTCCACACACACACGCACGCACACATAAGCAGTATTTCATCTCGAAGGCGCATGAGACCCAAGGTCGTCAGCGTATTCGATAACACTTATCCCTACTGCCACTCGTCTTCCGACCGGTGCCGTGAGCAAATTTTGTGACCTTCGGAATTCTACAGAGTGACTTTCTGCCAGAGCATTAAGCGCATTCTCGCTTCTACAAACTAGCATCTCGAGTTTTGGAGCAAAAATCAAGTGCTAGACACCTAGATGAAAACTCAGAAATCCAACCAATCGATATGCGTGCTGTTATTATCCATGCATGAGCTGGACAATGAGATGCAAAATGGAGCAGTACCTCAAGCAAGGCTCAGTCTATCTGTTGATCGGATTGATTGCCCCTGGAAGGGAAACTGTGATTTATGCTGATAGACCTGAGTTCCAGTAACCACTTACATGATGGCTCTCAACGTTTTCAGGTAAGAAAATGGTGAAAGTGTGATCCTATTCCACGGACATTAAACGAACCTGGTCTGTCGTTCTTATTGACCTAGCCAGATGGGCTGTACGGGGATCGGTCATGTGATTCACTGACTAAGGATAATGGGCTGTTACCCACTGGTCTACGTGTTATTCGAACGATCTGAGCACCTGCCTAACTTAATTTTGGCATGAATGTTGGTCAAACATCCTGACTGCTGGTGAAAAGCCCGACTGTCGTTTCGGAATAGTCATCGATCATTATAGTCACATGACACCTTCCACAGGACAAATCTCAATAAAGACAGGAGTGACCTGTGGCCAAACTTTTCGGGACCCAATCATATCAGTAATAAGGTACGCTTGCGGGGAGGAAAGAGGCCCTTCATAATAATGGACTCTTTCAATGTAAAAAACGGCTATGCAATTTCCGATGCTTGCACTAACACAAAACACTCTAAGTTAGACACTAGTAAGTTGGTCCCGATTCCTTTTCGAATTAAGTAGAAAAATTAAACAAAACTTAAACTCAAATTTTTAGACGGTCATTTGGATCACAAGGAATACCAAGCGAGCGGTAAATTATTAAGGGTATGTTGAAGCAATAGAAAAACTAAGTATGAGGCCCTTTCAGAGAAAAAGAAGTCTCTTCGAAGGTGTCATGTTGGCAATGGGCACAAATTTGCCATTCAGTGTATTTCGATTACGTCGAATAGCAGTAGTATTGACCAGCAGAATACTAGAGGCGCTTTCCGCAACTTGAACAACTGTGTGACGGTGAAAGACGGGGTCCACAGCGAGGTGAGGCGACCAACATGGCCTTATGGCAAAAAAGCTTGCCTTATGCTTGCTTATGTCCGATCCCTAAGGTACTGCAGTCATGTCATAGAAACACCGAATGGGCAATGCTGAAGTGCGACAATGTTTTTTTTAAAATAAGTCGGCTATTTATACTGTTAGTGAGTTGTTTCGAACGCACCACATAAGTCGACTCAGTCATGCTAGATGACCGATTGTCTTGTTGTGTCCCGTTTGTAAGGCAGATGCTTAATAAAAGACGCCGAAAGCCGTGCCACTCAGGACCTGGAGATAAACCACGAGGAATACAAAAGTGGAAGATGCTTTTTCCGAAATTTGAAGGACCATCTTCCAGTTAAATCTTTCAATCGAGCCCACAGGAATGAGGTTTTGCATGATACACCGGGTGCAATAGGCTGATTCGTGGGCTGGTGTGTCCAGATTGGGAGGTACTTCGTCTTTCTTATCTGACGTTATTTCCTAACTGTGCCAAAGTCCCATCGATATTCCGTCACCACATCGATTCAGCACCTGCTTTTTACATCTTACACAGGAATATTATGCTAAGGTGCTGAATCAGCTGCTATTAGACAGAAACCAGAACAGTGTGAACGGAAAGAATCGATCACACCCTTGGAACCGCCTTGGCGATTGAATTGCTTTTTACATCTTAATGGGGGATATTTATGTTCTTTTGCATTAAATTATATGGGTTGTTTCTTAGTATACACCAGGAGAGACAACTTGATTCAACCAGC